CCCATGAGGATCGAACCCAAAACCCCGGGATCCTGCAACCACTGTTCTATAAGTCCCGGGGAAAACCAATTGCGCACTGGGGGGGAAAAAATCCATAAAACCTTAAAATAAAATTAAAGAAAGTAACTTTAAACAATATATTCCTTCCTTCCTAAAAATAAAATCGTCCCTTGGAACAAAATTAAAATTCCTGCATTTAATATGAGAAGTACTCTTTCTCTGTTCAACCAAACCCTGAGAAGCTTCTTAAACATATGAATGTAAAAGATTCTTTTCCCCAGGTGAGGATCGAACTCACAACCTCGGCATTGCTCGCAACCACTGTTCTATAAGTACCGCGCGCTAACCAATTGCGCCACTGGGGAGCGAAAGTAATCCATCACCTTAAACATAAAATTAAAGTAACGGTAACGTTAACAATATATTCCTTTCCTTCCTAAAAAAATCAAATCGTCCCTTTGGAACAAAATTAAAATTCCTGCAATTATGAGAAGTACTCTTTCTCGGGTTAAACCCAAACCCTGAGAAGCTTCTTAAACATATGAATGTAAAAATTTTTTCCCCAGGTGGGGATCGAATTTCAAACCTCGGCATTTCGCAACCACTGTTCTAAAGAAACCCGCTAACCAATTGCGCCACTGGGGAGCGAAAGAATCCATCACCTTTAAAAAACATAAAATTAAAGTAAAGGTAACGTTAACAATATATTCCTTTCCTTCCTAAAAATCAAATCGTCCCTTTGGAACAAAATTAAAATTCCTGCATTTAATATGAGAAGTACTCTTTCTCTATTCAACCAAACACTGAGAAGCTTCTTAAATATATAAATGTAAAAGATTCTTTTCCCCAGGTGAGGATCGAACTCACAACCTCGGCATTGCTCGCAACCACTGTTCTATAAGTACCGCGCGCTAACCAATTGCGCCACTGGGGAGCGAAAGCAATCCATCACCTTAAACATAAAATTAAAGTAAAGGTAACGTTAACAATATATTCCTTTCCTTCCTAAAATATCAAATCGTCCCTTTCGAACAAAATTAAAATTCCTGCATTTAATATGAGAAGTACTCTTTCTGTGTTCAACCAAAACCCCTACTTAAAATTATGAATGTAAAAGATTATTTCCAGGTGAGAACCTCACAACCCTCGGCATTGCTCGCAACACTGTTCTATATACCGCGCGCCAACCACTGGTGTCAATTGGGGGAAACGAAAGTTATCCATCACATTAAACATAAAATTAAAGTAACGGTAACGTTAACAATATATTCCTTTCCTTCCTAAAAAAATCAAATCATCCCTTTGGAAAAAAATTAAAATTCCTCATTTAATATGAGCGTTCAACTCCCCGAGCAGTTTAAACATATGAATGTAAAAGATTCTTTTTCCCCAGGTGAGATCGAACTTCACAACCTCGGCATTGCTCGCAACCACTGTTCTATAAGTACCGCGCGCTAACCAATTGCGCCACTGGGAAGCGAAAGCAATCCATCACCTTAAACATAAAATTAAAGTAACGATAACGTTAACAATATATTCCTTTCCTTCCTAAAAAAATCAAATCGTCCCTTTGGAACAAAATTAAAATTCATGCATTTAATATGAGAAGTACTCTTTCTCTGTTCAACCAAACCCTGAGAAGCTTCTTAAACATATGAATGTAAAAGATTCTTTTCCCCAGGTGAGGATCGAACTCACAACCTCGGCATTGCTCGCAACCACTGTTCTATAAGAATGGCGCGCTAACCAATTGCGCCACTGGGGAGCGAAAGCAATCCATCACCTTAAACATAAAATTAAAGTAAAGGTAACGTTAACAATATATTCCTTTCCTTGCTAAAAGAATCAAATCGTCCCTCTGGAACAAAATTAAAATTCCTGTACCTAATATGAGAAGTACTCTTGCTCTATTCAACCAAACACTGAGAAGCTTCTTAAATGTCTGAAAGTAAAAGATTATTTTCCGCAGGTGAGGATCGAACTCACAACCTCGGCATTGCTCGCAACCACTGTTCTATAAGTACCGCGCGCTAACCTATTGCGCCACTGGGGAGCGAAAGTAATCCATCACCTTAAACATAAAATTAAAGTAACGGTAACGTTAACAATATATTCCTTTCCTTCCTAAAAAAATCAAATCGTCCCTTTGGAACAAAATTAAAATTCCTGCATTTATGAGAAGTACTCTTGTCTGTTCAACCAAACCCCAGAAGCTTCTAAACATGCGAATAAACGATTCTTTCTCCCCAGGTGAGATCGAACTCACAACCTCAGCATTGCTCGCAAACCACTAAAACCAAGTACCGCGCGCTAACCAATTGCGCCACTGGGGAGCGAAAGTAATCCATCACCTTAAACATAAAATTAAAGTAAAGGTAACGTTAACAATATATTACGTTCCTTCCTAAAAATGAATCGTCCTTGGAACAAAAATTAAAATTCCCATTTAATATGAGAGTCACTTGTCTGTTCAACCAAACCCTGAGAAGTTTAAACATATGAATGTAAAAGATTCTTTTCCCCAGGTGAGGATCGAACTCACAACCTCGGCATTGCTCGCAACCACTGTTCTATAAGTACCGCGCGCTAACCAATTGCGCCACTGGGGAGCGAAAGTAATCCATCACTTTAAACATAAAATTAAAGTAACGGTAACGTTAACAATATACCTTCCTCCTAAAAATCAAATCGTCCCTTGGGAATGTACCAAAATTCCTGCATTTATCATGAGTAGTACCTTCTCTGTTCGCGAAACCCTGTGCTTCTAAACATATGAATGTAAAAGATTATTCCCCAGGTGAGATCGAACTCACAACCTCGGCATTGCTCGCAACCACTGTTCTATAAGCACGCGCGCTAACCAATTGCGCCACTGGGGAGCGAAAAGTAACCATCACCTTAAACATAAAATTAAAGTAAAGGTAACGTTAACAATATATTCTTTCCTTCCTAAAAAAATCAAATCGTCCCTTTCGGAACGTACCAAAAAATTCCGCATTTAATATGAGAAGTACTCTTTCTCTGTTCAACCAAACCCTGAGAAGCTTCTTAAACATATGAATGTAAAAGATTATTTTCCCCAGGTGAGGATCGAACTCACAACCTCGGCATTGCTCGCAACCACTGTTCTATAAGTACCGCGCGCTAACCACTGCGCCACTGGGAAGGAAGTAATCCATCACCTTAAACATGTAAAATTAAAGTAAAGGTAACGTTAACAATATATTCCTTTCCTTCCTAAAAAATCAAATCGTCCCTTTGGAACAAAATTAAAATTCCTGTACCTAATATGACAAGTACTCTTGCTCTATTCAACCAAACACTGAGAAGCTTCTTAAATATATAAATGTAAAAGATTCTTTTCCCCAGGTCACCACAACCTCGGCATTGCTCTCGCGACTGTTCTATAAGGGTCATATGCTAACCAATTGGTGCCATAATTGGGCATCACCTTAAACATAAAATTAAAGTAAAGGTAACGTTAACAATATATTCTTTTCCTCTTCCTAAAAATCAAATCGTCCCTTTCGAACAAAATTAAAATTCCCGGCATTTAATATGAGAAATACTCTTTCTGTTCAACTAAACCCCCTGAAAGCTTCTAAACATATGAATAAAGATTCAACTCACAACCTCGGCATTGCTCGCAACCACTTCTATAAGGGTCATACAATCAATTGCGCCATCAGATGAGCAATCCATCACCTTAAACATAAAAATTAAAGTAAAGGTAACGTTAACAATATATTCCTTTCCTTCCTAAAAGAATCAAATCGTCCCTCTGGAACAAAATTAAAATTCCTGTACCTAATATGAGAAGTACTCTTGCTCTATTCAACCAAACACTGAGAAGCTTCTTAAATATATAAAAGTAAAAGAGTCTTTTCCCCAGGTGAGGATCGAACTCACAACCTCGGCATTGCTCGCAACCACTGTTCTATAAGAACCGCGCGCTAACCAATTGCCCCACTGGGGAGCGAAAGCAATCCATCACCTTAAACATAAAATTAAAGTAAAGGTAACGTTAACAATATATTCCTTTCCTTCCTAAAAGAATCAAATCGTCCTCTGAACAAAATTGTACCCTGCACTTAATATGTACACTCTTCTATTCAACAAAAACACCGAGAAAGCTTCAAATATCGGAATGTGAAAGATCCTTTTGCGCAGGTGAGGATCGAACTCACAACCTCGGCATTGCTCGCAACCACTGTTCTATAAGTACCGCGCGCTAACCAATTGCGCCACTGGGGAGCGAAAGCAATCCATCACCTTAAACATAAAATTAAAGTAAAGGTAACGTTAACAATATATTCCTTTCCTTCCTAAAAGAATCAAATCGTCCCTCTGGAACAAAATTAAAATTCCTGTACCTAATATGAGAAGTACTCTTGCTCTATTCAACCAAACACTGAGAAGCTTCTAAATATATAAAAGTAAAAAGAGCCCCAGAGAGGATCGAACTACAACCTCGGCATTGCTCGCAAACCACTGTTCTATAACAACCGCGCGCTAAATCAATTGCGCCACTGGGGAAAGCAACCATCACCTTAAAACATAAAATTAAAGTAAAGGTATCTTTTCCTTTCTAAAGAATCAAATCGTCCCTCTGGAACAAAATTAAAATTCCTGCACTTAATATAAAAAGCACTCTTTCTCTATTCAACAAAACACTGAGAAGCTTCTTAAATATCGGAATGTGAAAGATCCTTTTGCGCAGGTGAGGATCGAACTCACAACCTCGGCATTGCTCGCAACCACTGTTCTATAAGTACCGCGCGCTAACCAATTGCGTCACTGGGGAACGAAAGTTATCCATCACATTAAACATAAAATTAAAGTAACGGTAACGTTAACAATATATTCCTTTCCTTCCTAAAAAAATCAAATCATCCCTTTGGAAAAAAATTAAAATTCCTCATTTAATATGAGAAGTACTCTTTCTCTGTTCAACCAAACCCTGAGCAGCTTCTTAAACATATGAATGTAAAAGATTCTTTTTCCCCAGGTGAGATTCGACCACAACCTCGGCATTGCTCGCAACCAAATTCTATAAGTACCGCGCGCTAACCACTGGTGCCACTGGGGAAGGGAAAATCCATCACCTAAACATAAAATTAAAGTAACGATAACGTTAACCATATATCTCTTTCCTTCCTAAAAAATCAAATCGTCCCTTTAAACAAAATTAAAATTATGCATTTAATATGAGAAGTAATTTTTCGTTCAACCAAAACCCCTGAGAAGCTTAAACATATGAAATATTTTTTCCCCAGGTGAGGATCGAACTCACAACCTCGGCATTGCTCGCGTTCTATAAGAACCGCGCGCTAACCAATTGCGCCACTGTGAGCGAAAGCAATCCATCACCTTAAAATAAAATTAAAAGCAAAGGTAACGTTAACATATTCCTTTCCTTCCTAAAAGAATCAAATCGTCCCTCTGGAACAAAATTAAAATTCCTGTACCAATATGAGAAGTACTTTTTCTCTATTCAACCAAACACTGAGAAGCTTATAAATGTGCAAAAGATTCTTCCCCAGGTGAGGACGTGAACTCACAACCCGGCATTGCTCGCAACCACCTCATTCTATATACCGAGCGCTAACCAATTGCGCCACTGGGGAGCGAAAGTAATCCATCACCATAAACATAAAATTAAATAAAGGTAGAGTTAACAATACATTACGTTCCTTCCTAAAAAAATCAGATCGTCCCTTTGGAACAAAATTAAAATTCCTGCACTTAATATGAAAAGTACTCTTCCTCTATTCAACAAAACACTGAGAAGCTTCTTAAATACCGGAATATAAAAGTTATTCTTTTTCGATAGTTCCAGACAGCGTAATCACCAAAACAGCTGCGTTGGAACTGCGCCACTGGGTAGCGGTAATTCATCACCTTAAACATAAAAAATTAAAGTAAAAGTAATGTGAACAATATATATTCTTTTGTGGTTAAACAACCTTAAACAAAATTAAAATTCCTTCATTTGTCGAGAAGTACTTTTTCTTTCAGCCCAATCACTCGAGAAGCCAAACATAGCAGTCAGATTCTTTTCTCAGGTGATCCGTTAACCTGCATAGCCGTAAATCATTTCGCCAATTGCCACTGGGGAGCGAAATTCATTGGCTCTTAAACATGTACTGGTAAAGGTAACGTAATAATATACTTTTTCTTCAAACAGTTGTGTTCTTTCATTTACAATGAAGCCAGCTCAACGCCTTTATAGCTTCAGAGTGAATGATATCAGAGACGAAGGTTCCGGTGCTAAAGCCAGTTGCACAGCACCGTCACGAACAAAGGTATCGCGCTAACACAGATTCTCTCAGTCAATCAACTCTGGAAACAAAATTAAAATTTGTATTTGACATGAGTACTAGCTTATTCACCAAACACTGAGAAGCTTCTTAAATATATAAAAGTAAAGAATGCCAGGAGGACGAATAACGCCGGCATGCCAGCTGAAATCACTGGCACCGAGTGCTAACCACTGCGCCCAGCTGGTGAAGTAGCACTATCGTTTTAAACAGCGGTGGCTCGGCAGCGTAACGTTAATACCAGCACAATGCCTTTCTGGAACAAAAATGCGGGCCCCGCACTAGTGTCGATGAGCAGCCGGAATGCAGTTATCTCTGGTGAAATGAATTTCGGCATAACCACCGTTCTGGTGCGGCGCGCCGGGTCCACTGCCGACGCCGGGGAGTTAGGTGCAATCATTTTAAACAAAATTGTGCAGTATCGTTAACATATTTTTCCTTCCTGTTAGGTCAAATTTCTTTCTGGAATGTAATTAAAATTCCTGCACCTAATATGTTGCCTTCTTGTTTGCTCACCAAACACTGAGAAGCTTCTAACATATGTAAAGATTGTGACGAATAACTCAACCACCAAAACAAAATATTGTGTCATTGGGGAGTTTAGCAATCCAATACCTAAACATAAAATGCTACTGAGATTTTTTTCTTTCTGTAATCATCTTCGGTACTAAAATTCTTAATTAATATGTTATTCTCTATTCGGGTTGTTCACCGCAACACGGAATGCGAAGATGCAGTAGAGATAGCTGTAATCAATAACCTGCGTTAACCAATTAAAATACTGGGGAATCCAGTTAAGCCCATCTAGCTGGCCGTGCTCGGTGCGGAATGGTATCGTTAATATATTCTTTTCCTTTCCTGTGCCCAAATCATCCCTTGAAAAATTGCACCCTCATTTAATACAGAAGCAATTTTTCTCTCGGTTCACCGAAACCTGAGCAGCTTGAAACATATGAATGCTTCAGGTGAGGACGATTAGTTAATGTCCCCGAGATGGATACAGTAAGCACACTGCGCCGGGCAACTATCACTTAAACATGGGGTGTTAACACAGGAAAATAAATCGTTCCTTTGGGAAACGTACCAAAATTCATGCACATGAGAAGTACTCTTCGGTTCAACCAAACCCGAGAGCTTCTTAAACATATGAATGTACATTTTTCCCCTAGTTTGAGGATCGAACTACGAACCTTTCGGCATTGCCGCAAACCGTTCTTATAATAACCGCGCGCCAACCACCGTGCCACTGGAAGGAAAAGCAACCATCACTTAAATATAAAAAATTGTGAAAGCAGATCGCTAACAATATTAGCAGTCGTTTCATCGATCAGTCTTCTTGGAATAAAATTACCTCAGAGTTTATCATGAGAAATACTTTTGTTCGTTCAATCAACTAGAGTTTGAAACATAGAATATGTGCGAAAATTTTTCTCATCGACCATAATCCAACACTGCATCGGTAAAAGGCTCACCCGCGCCACTGGGGGAGTATCACTAAACATAAAATACCAGTATTTGTATCGTTAACAATATATTCTTCGCATTTACTGCGGAGAAGCAGCTTCCGTTCAACGAAACCCCAAACATAGTGAATGCAGGTAACTCGGCATTGTGCCGTAATCACTGGGCCCACCGCGCCATTGTTCCATAAAATTGTGCGGAAGGTATCGCCGTCTTCTTCTGGTGTCAATGTTCTTGGAATAAAAATTGCACCTTCGGTATCGCACTCTGTTTCATTCAGTCGTAAAGTTTTTCACTAAGATGTGAATCATCAAATATGCTGGAATCAATTGGTGCCATTCAATTCATTTGTATGGGGCTCAGTAGGTAACGTTAACGTATTTTTCCAAAATAAATCGTTAGTCAAAAATTGCGCCCCGCATTTATTACGAGCAGCAATTTTGTACCAATCAGCCTTCGAGAAAGCTTCAAACATGGCGAACAGCAACATTACTAGGTGACGAACTGCTAAAGCTGCAAATCACGTTTATACGCGCGTCCGGTCACCACCGGGGATCGAATCACTTCCAAACATGCTGTGCGGTCGGTAACGTGCCAATACATCAAATCGTCCTTTGTTCTTTACGAGAAGCAATTTTTCTTCAACAACCCCGAGAAGCCTTCAAACACAGCGAATGTAAAGATGCCGAACTCCGGCATTATCGCACCACCGCGCGCCAACCAACGGCGCCGGTCGGTTGCGAGCCTGGGAGCGCGCCTGGTAGTTAAAATATATTCTTCGTAACAAACTTCCCGAACAAAATCATGCATTACGCGAGTAAGCTTCTTTCTCAGCCCAGTTCCGAGCTTAAACAGGCGAATGCGATTACAGCTGTAACCACAATTGCGCTGGGAGTTTAGCACTATCAATTTTAAACAGCAAACAGCGGTATCGTTGCATTTTCTTCCAAAGAATCAAATCGTTCTGGCAAAAATTAAAATTCCTTGCCTACGTACTTGTTTCTATTCACCAAATACGAGAAGCTTAATGTTCGAATGTAAAAGATATTTTAGTAGTGACGATTACGGTCTCACGTTTCCTATAGTACCGCGTATTGCGCCACTACCTATCATTTTAAACATGTATCGTTAACAGCCAGAGTTCTTTCCAGTAGTTCGTACCAAAATTTTGCTTAATAACAGAAGCACTTCTTGTTTGTTCAACCAAACCCTTGTGAAGCTTTCTAATGTAAAGACAGGAGTGTGTGTACAGCTATCATTGTACAGTTGAAATTTTAAACATGTACCAGGCAGCGTGAACGTTAACAATATATGCCTTTCCCGGCCGACCGCTGGGAATGGGGTAATTAAATTCCCGGGCATTTACTGGCGCGAGAAATACGCCAGTTCAGCCCGTTCAGTTCCTTAGAAAGCTAAACAGAATGTTTTTCGTGACAAAATCACTGCATGCGCCGTGCCACTGTTTGTGTGCCTGTCACCTAAACAGCGGGTACCAGCATGAGCGCCTTTCCGCAAAAATCGACCGTTTTAGTCAAATTGTATCTCGCATTTAACGCCTTCGCAGTGACGGGTCCGGCAGCCAGCGTTTTGCCAGCCGACCAAACCATCACCTGTATTCCAGTGAACGTTAACGGTTTAATTTCGTGTCAAAATTCCGGCATTTAACAGCGAGAGTGTTCTTTCAAAATTAATTGAAACCCCGTGAAGTTTAACATATGGTCGTAAAGACATTTCAGGTGATCTAGCCAACCACGTTTGCGCGCGCTTAAAAACAGCGTACTGGTGCAGCGTAACGTTAACAGGGTTTTCTATCGTCGTTTTCGCAGCCGGATACCAGCTTGGTTACGTAGGCAGTTTAAAATATGTACAATGCGGCGTTACCGTGCTGGGGAAAGCGACCACGCGCCTAAACGTGTGTTGTGCAGCAGCCGGTTATTGTCTTTCTTCTCGTGGACAATGTTTCGAACAAATTTTGTTTAAACATAGAATATAAAAGACAGCTTAGTGCTCGTTCCTGCAAATATTTTTCCTCTTCAGCTGGTTCCGGTTGATAACCACCGGCCCGCGCGCTGGTATCAAACATTGGGTGCATCTGGCGTGTTCTTCTGCAAATAAATGCCAACGTGCCGGGGAGTTTATAACTATCATGCCTTAAACATGTGTTTCAGCGTATCTGTTGGTCATATATCTTTCCTTCTGTTAGTCAAATGTTCTTCTGGACGCTTGCCGCTCAATTGAAGATGAGAAGTTTAGCCAGTACCTGGATGGCTATTTCCGCAGGTGTAATATTGTGCCAAATCACTGGCCTTATAGTGGCCGCGCGCAGCGTGCCATTTGTCACTTAAACTAAAATAGTGTAACGGTAACGTTAATAAGAGCTCTTTCCTTCCTTCAGTCTTTAATGTGTTCAATCAGAAAGATTTCAGCCCAAATAACCAAACCCTGTGGCTTAAACATAGTGAATGTAAGTATTAGGAAATTGTTATTAAGCATAGCTGCAAATCACCAGCCTTGGCAAGATACTGGGGAAGTTTAAAACTATCACCTTAAACATGTGCTGGTGCAGCGGTAACGCTGGTCATTTCCCAAAAATGAATGTTCTTTGTGCTACTCGGCATTAATATGAGAAATGGCTTGCTTCCAGCTCACCGGCGAATGCAGTGACGACCATAATCTGCTGGCTGTAAATCATTACCAATAAATAGCTACTGGTGCGGAAGATGTTTCTTCGTGGATGAATCGTTACCGCATTTACGCAGCGGCTTGTTAAATAATCAGCAAACATAGCGAATGTGGCGACAACTGGCTCAGCCGCAAAGGGTCACCTTAAACAGTAATGCCGTCGTTCTTTGGGACAAAATAGCCTCCGGTAGCGAATAAAGATGCTTTCAGCTGGTCTATTGCCAGAATCACTGCCTCTATAAGTACTTTCGCCCCCAGTGGCGCAAATTGCGAGCGCGCAGTACTTATAGAACAGTGGTTGCGAGCAATGCCGAGGTTGTGAGTTCGATCCTCACCTGGGGAAAATAATCTTTTACATTCATATGTTTAAGAAGCTTCACAGGGTTTCGTTGAACAGAGAAAGAGTACTTCTCATATTAAATGCAGGAATTTTAATTTTGTTCCAAAGGACGATTTGATTTTTTTAGGAAGGAAAGGAATATATTGTTAACGTTACCGTTACTTTAATTTTATGTTTAAGGTGATGGATTACTTTCGCTCCCCAGTGGCGCAATTGGTTAGCGCGCGGTACTTATAAAACAGTGGTTGCGAGCAATGCCGAGGTTGTGAGTTCGATCCTCACCTGGGGAAAAGAATCTTTACATTCATATGTTTAAGAAGCTTCTAAGGGTTTGGTTGAACAGACAAAGAGTATTTCTCATATTAAATGCAGGAATTTTAATTTTTGTTCCAAAAATGACGATTCGATTTTTAGAAGGAACGTAATGTATTGTTAACTCTACCTTTATTTAATTTTATGTTTAAGGTGATGGATTACTTTCGCTCCCCAGTGGCGCAATTGGTTAGCGCGCGGTACTTATAGAACAGTGGTTGCGAGCAATGCCGAGGTTGTGAGTTCGATCCTCACCTGGGGAAAAGAATCTTTTACATTCATATGTTTAAGAAGCTTCTAAGGGTTTGGTTGAACAGACAAAGAGTATTTCTCATATTAAATGCAGGAATTTTAATTTTGTTCCAAAGGGACGATTCGATTTTTTTAGGAAGGAACGTAATATATTGTTAACGTTACCTTTACTTTAATTTTATGTTTAAGGTGATGGATTACTTTCGCTCCCCAGTGGCGCAATTGGTTAGCGCGCGGTACTTATAGAACAGTGGTTGCGAGCAATGCTGAGGTTGTGAGTTCGATCCTCACCTGGGGAAAAGAATCTTTTACATTCATATGTTTAAGAAGCTTCTATGGTTTGGTTGAACAGACAAAGAGTACTTCTCATATTAAATGCAGGAATTTTAATTTTGTTCCAAAGGGACGATTTGATTTTTTTAGGAAGGAAAGGAATATATTGTTAACGTTACCGTTACTAATTTTATGTTTAAGATAGATTACTTTCGCTCCCCAGTGGCGCAATAGGTTAGCGCGCGGTACTTATAGAACAGTGGTTGCGAGCAATGCCGAGGTGCCAGGAGTTCGATCCTACTCGCGGAAAATAATCTTTACATTCAGACATTTGCTTCAGTGTTTGGCTGAATAGAGCAAGAGTACTTCTCATATTAGGTACAGGAATTTTAATTTTGTTCCAGAGGGACGATTTGATTGTTTTAGAAGGAAAGGAATATGCCGTTAACGTTACCTTTACTTAATTTTATGTTTAAGGTGATGGATTGCTGCCCCAGTGGCGCAATTGGTTAGCGCGGTTCTTATAGAACAGTGGTTGAGCAATGCCGAGGGTTGTGATTTCGATCCTACCTGGGGAAAGAATCTTTACATTCATATGTTTAAGAAGCTTCACAGGGTTTGGTTGAACAGAGAAAGAGTACTTCACATATTAAATGCATGAATTTTAATTTTGTTCGAAAGGGACGATTTGATTTTTTTAGGAAGGAAAGGAATATATTGTTAACGTTACCTTTACTTTAATTTTATGTTTAAGGTGATGGATTGCTTTCGCTCCCCAGTGGCGCAATTGGTTAGCGCGCGGATCTTATAGAACAGTGGTTGCGATCAATGCCGAGGTTGTGAGTTCGATCCTCACCTGGGGAAAAGAATCTTTTACATTCATATGTTTAAGAAGCTTCTCAGGGTTTGGTTGAACAGAGAAAGAGTACTTCTCATATTAAATGCAGGAACTTTAATTTTTTCCAAAGGGACGATTTGATTTTTTTAGGAAGGAAAGGAATATATTGTTAACTTTACCGTTACTTTAATTTTATGTTTAAGGTGATGGATTACTTTCGCTAAACAGTGGCGCAATTGGTTAGCGCGCGGTACTTATAGAACAGTGGTTGCGAGCAATGCCGAGGTTGTGAGTTCGATCCTCACCTGGGGAAAATAATCTTTTACATTCATATGTTTAAGAAGCTTCTCAGGGTTTGGTTGAACACAGAAAGAGTACTTCTCATATTAAATGCAGGAATTTTAATTTTGTTCGAAAGGGACGATTTGATTTTTTAGGAAGGAAAGGAATATATTGTTAACGTTACCTTTACTTTAATTTTATGTTTAAGGTGATGGATTGATTTCGCTCCCCAGTGGCGCAATTGGTTAGCGCGCGGTACTTATAGAACAGTGGTTGCGAGCAATGCCGAGGTTGTGAGTTCGATCCTCACCTGGGGAAAAGAATCTTTTACATTTATATATTTAAGAAGCTTCTCAGTGTTTGGTTGAATAGAGCAAGAGTACTTGTCATATTAGGTACAGGAATTTTAATTTTGTTCCAAAGGGACGATTTGATTTTTTTAGGAAGGAAAGGAATATATTGTTAACGTTACCTTTACTTTAATTTTATGTTTAAGGTGATGGATTACTTTCGCTAAACAGTGGCGCAATTGGTTAGCGCGCGGTACTTATAGAACAGTGGTTGCGAAAGCAATGCTGCAGCCAGGAGTTCGATCCTCACCTGGGGAAAATAATCTTTTACATTCATATGTTTAAGAAGCTTCACAGGGTTTCGTTGAACAGAGAAAGAGTACTTCATATTAAATGCAGGGAATTTAATTTGTCCCAAAGGACGATTTGATTTTTTTAGGAAGGAAAGGAATATATTGTTAACGCTACCGTGTTACCTACCTTATGTTTAAGGTGATGGATTACTGCTCCCAGTGGCGCAATTGGTTACGCGCGGTACTTATAAAACAGTGGCTGAGAAGCGTACGTCGAGGTTAGACTGATCCTCACCTGGGGAAAAAGAATCTTTACATTCATGTTTAAGCAGCTTCTAAGGGTTTGGTTGAACAGACAAAGAGTATTTCTCATATTAAATGCAGGAATTTTAATTTTGTTCCAAAATGACGATTCGATTTTTAGGAAGGAACGTAATATATTGTTAACGTTACCTTTACTTTAATTTTATGTTTAAGGTGATAGATTACTTTCGCTCCCCAGTGGCGCAATTGGTTAGCGCGCGGTACTTATAGAACAGTGGTTGCGAGCAATGCCGAGGTTGTGAGTTCGATCCTCTACCCGTGGAAAAGACACCTTTTTACATTCATATGTTTAAGAAGCTTCGGCGGTTTGCTGAACAGACAAAGAGTGCTATTAAATGCAGGAATTTTTAATTTTGTTCCAAAGGGACGATTCGATTTTTTTAGGAAGGAACGTAATATATTGTTAACGTTACCTTTACTTTAATTTTATGTTTAAGGTGATGGATTACTTTCGCCCCCAGTGGCGCAATTGGTTAGCGCGCGGTACTTATAGAACAGTGGTTGCGAGCAATGCTGAGGTTGTGAGTTCGATCCTCACCTGGGAAAAGAATCTTTTACATTCATATGTTTAAGAAGCTTCTAAGGGTTTGGTTGAACAGACAAAGAGTACTTCTCATATTAAATGCAGGAATTTTAATTTTGTTCCAAAGGGACGATTTGATTTTTTTAGGAAGGAAAGGAATATATTGTTAACGTTACCGTTACTTTAATTTTATGTTTAAGGTGATAGATTACTTTCGCTCCCCAGTGGCGCAATAGGTTAGCGCGCGGTACTTATAGAACAGTGGTTGCGAGCAATGCCGAGGTTGTGAGTTCGATCCTCACCTGCGAAAATAATCTTACATTCAGAGACATTTAAGAAGGCTTTCAGTGTTTGGTTGAATAGAGCAAGAGTACTTCATTAGGTACAGGAATTTTTAATTTTGTACCAGAGGGACGATTTGATTCTTTAGGAAGGAAAGGAATATATTGTTAACGTTACCTTTACTTTAATTTTATGTTTAAGGTGATGGATTGCTGCCCCCTGTGCGCGTTAGCGCGCGGTACTTATAGAACAGTGGTTGCGAGCAATGCCGAGGTTGTGAAGTTCGATCTCACCTGGGGAAAAGAATCTTTTACATTTGTACGATTAAGAAGAAGCTTCTCAGGGGTTTTGGTTGAACTGAGAAGAATACTTCCTCATATTAAATGCAGGAATTTTAATTTTTGTTCCAAAGGGACGATTTGATTTTTAGGAAAGAAAAGAATATATTGTTAACGTTACCGTACTTTGGTACATGTTAAAGGTGATGAGGATTACTTTCGCTCCCCAGTGGCGCATTGGATTTGGCCTTGCGGTACTTATAGAACAGTGGTTGCGAGCAATAGCGGTTGTGAGTTCGATCCTCACACCTGGGAAAAGAATCTTTTACATTTATATATTTTAGAAGCTTCTCAGTGTTTGGTTGAATAGAGAAAGAGTACTTCTCATATTAGGTACAGGAATTTTAATTTTGTTCCAGAGGGACGATTTGATTCTTTTAGGAAGGAAAGGAATATATTGTTAACGTTACTTTAGCTTTAATTTATGTTTTAAGGTGATTGTTGCTTTCGCTCCCAGTGGCGCAATTGAGTTGGCGCGCGGTACTTATAGAAACGGTGGTTGCGAGCAATGCCGAGGTTGTGAGTTCGATCCTCACCTGGGGAAACGAATCTTTTACATTCATACGTTTAAGAAGCTTCTCAGGGTTTGGTTGAACTGAGAAAGAATACTTCTCATATTAAATGCAGGAATTTTAATTTTGTTCCAAAGGGACGATTTGATTTTTAGGAAGGAAAAGAATATATTGTTAACGTTACCGTTACTTTAATTTTATGATAAGGTATTGGATTACTTTCAAACTCCCCACAGTATGGCGCAATTGGTTAGCGCGCGGTACTTATAGAACAGTGGTTGCGAGCAATGCCGAGGTTGTGAGTTCGATCCTCACCTGGGGAAAAGAATCTTTTACATTTATATATTTGAAGCTTCTCGGTGTTTTGGTTGAATAGAAGAGTACTTCTCATACAGTAGGTACAGTAATTTTTAATTTTGTTCCAGAGGGACGATTTGGTCTTTTAGGAAGAGGAAAGAATATATTATTTAACGTTACCTTTTACTTTAATTTTATGTTTAAAGGTGATAGTTTTGCTTTCGCTCCCCAGTGGCGCAATGGTTAGCGCGCGGTACTTATAGAACAGTGGTCGCGAGCAATGCCGAGGTTGTGAGCTCGATCCTCACCTGGGGAAACGAATCTTTTACATTCATACGTTTAAGAAGCTTCTCAGAGGTTTGGTTGAACTGAAGAGTACTTCTCATATTAAATGGGAATTTTTTAATTTTTGTTCAGAGAGGGACGATTTGATTCTTTAGGAAGGAAAGGAATATATTGTTAACGTTACTTTACTTTAATTTTATGTTTTAAGGTAAGTTTGCTTTTCGCTCCCCAGTGGCGCAATTGGTTAGCGCGGTACTTATAGAACAGTGGTTGCGAGCAATGCCGAGGTTGTGAGTTCGATCCTCACCTGGGGAAAAGAATCTTTTACATTTATATATTTAAGAAGCTTCTCAGTGTTTGGTTGAATAGAGAAAGTATACTCATATTAGGTACAGGAATTTTAATTTTGTTCCAGAGGGACGATTTGATTCTTTTAGGAAGGAAAGGAATATATTGTTAACGTTACCTTTACTTTAATTTTATGTTTAAGGTGATAGTTTGCTTTCGCTCCCCAGTGGCGCAATTGGTTAGCGCGGTACTTATAGAACAGTGGTTGCGAGCAATGCCGAGGTTGTGAGTTCGATCCTCACCTGGGGAAAAGAATCTTTTACATTCATACGTTTAAGAAGCTTCTCAGGGTTTGGTTGAACTGAGAAAGAATACTTCTCATAATGCATCTGCAGGAATTTTAATTTTGTTCCAGAGGGACGATTTGATTCTTTTAGGAAGGAAAAGAATATATTGTTAACGTTACCGTTACTTTAATTTTATGTTAAAGGTGATGGATTACTTTCGCTCCCCAGTGGCGCAATTGGTTAGCGCGCGGTACTTATAGAACAGTGGTTGCGAGCAATGCCGAGGTTGTGAGTTCGATCCTCACCTGGGGAAAAGAATCTTTTACATTCATACGTTTAAGAAGCTTCTCAGGGTTTGGTTGAACTGAGAAAGAGTACTTCTCATATTAAATGCAGGAATTTTTAATTTTTGTTCCAAAGGGACGATTTGATTTTTAGGAAAGAAAAGAATATATTGTTAACGTTACCGTTATTTTAATTTTATGTTAAAGGTGATGGATTACTTTCGCTCCCCAGTGGCGCAATTGGTTAGCGCGCGGTACTTATAGAACAGTGGTTGCGAGCAATGGCGAGGTTGTGAGTTCGATCCTCACACCTGGGGAAAAAGAATCTTTTACATTTATACATATTTTAGAAGCTTCTCAGTGTTTGGTTGAATAGAGAGTACTTCTCATAATGAGTACAGGAATTTTTAATTTTTGTTCAGAGGGACGATTTGATTCTTTTAAGGAAGGAAAGGAATATATATTGTTAACGTTACCTTTACTTTAATTTTATGTTTTAAGGTGATTGTTTGCTTCGCTCCCCCCAGTGGCGCAATTGAACATGCTTGCCGGTACTTATAGAACAGTGGTTGCGGCAATGCCAAGGTTGTTAGTTCGATCCTCACCTGGGGGAAACGTCTTTACATTCATATGTTTAAGAAGCTTCTCAGGGTTTGGTTGAACTGAGAAAGAATACTTCTCATATTAAATGCAGGAATTTAATTTTTGTTCCAAAAGGGACGATTTGATTTTAGGAAGGAAAAAGAATATATTGTTAAATTTTTAATTACTTTAATTTTTATGATAAAGGTGATGGATTACTTTCGCTCCCCAGTTGCGCAATTGGTTAGCGCGCGGTACTTATACAACAGTGGCTGCGAGCAATGCCGAGGTTGTGAGTTCGATCCTCACATGGGGAAAAGAATCTTTTACATTCAGATATTTAAGAAGCTTCTCAGTGTTTTGTTGAATAGAGGAGGAGTACTTCTCATATTAAATGCAGGAATTTTTTTCCAAGGGGACGATTTGATTTTTTTAGGAAGGGAAAGGAATGTATTGTTAATGTTACCTTTACTTTAATTTTATGTTTAAGGTGATGGATTACTTTCGCTCCCCAGTGGCGCAATTGGCTACCGCGCGGTACTTATAGAACAGTGGTTGCGAGCAATGCCGAGGTTGTGCGTTCGATCCTCACCTGGGGAAAAGAATCTTTACATTCGTACGTTTAAATACTCAGGGTTTGGATTTGAACTGAGAAGAATACTTCTCGCGTAAATGCAGGAATTTTATTTTTTGTTCAAGAGACCAATTTGATTTTTTAGGAAGGAAAATATATTGGTAGATTACCTTTACTTTAGAATTTATGTTAAGGTGATTATTTGCTTTCAACTCCCCAGTGGCGCAATTGGTTAGCGCGCCTGGTACTTATAGAACAGTAGTTTACGAGAGCAATGCCAGGGGTTGTGAGTTCGATTTCACCTGGAGGAAAAAAATCTTTTACATTCATATGTTTAGAAGCTTCTCCGGGGTTTTGGTTGAATAGAGAAAAGAAGTACTTCGATGTGCAGGTACAGGAATTTTACTTAATTTTGTTGTTAAGAGGGAAAGATTTGATTCTTTTATGAAGGAAAGGAATATATTGTTAACGTTACCTTTACTTTAATTTTATGTTTAAAGGTGATTGTTTGCTTTCGCTCCCCAGTGGCGCAATTGGTTAGCGCGCGGTACTTATAGAACAGTGGTTGCGAGCAATGACGAGGTTGTGAGTTCGATCCTCACCTGGGGAAAAGAATCTTTTACATTCATATGTTTAAGAAGCTTCTCAGGGTTTGGTTGAATAGAGAGTACTTCTGATGGTAGGTACAGGAATTTTAATTTTGTTAAAGAGGGAAGATTTGATTCTTTTTATGAAGGAAAGGGAATATATTGTAACGAAGTGGTTGCGAGCAATGCCGAGGTTGTGAGTTCGATCTCACCTGGGGAAGCAGATCTTTTACATTCATACGTTTAGAAGCTTCTCAGGGTTTGGTTGAACTGGCAGGAAAAATACTTCTCATATTAAATGCAGGAATTTAATTTTGTTCCAAAGGGACGATTTGATTTTTTTAGGAAGGAAAGGAATATATATTGTTAACGTTACCTTTACTTTAATTTTATGTTTAAGGTGATGGATTACTTTCGCTCCCCAGTGGCGCAATTGGTTAGCGCGCGGTACTTATAGAACAGTGTTTGCGAGCAATGCCGAGGTTGTTAGTTCGATCCTCACATGGGGAAAAGAATCTTTTACATTCATATGTTTAAGAAGCTTCTAAGGGTTTGGTTGAACTGAGAAAGAATACTTCTCATATTAAATGCAGGAATTTTAATTTTGTTCCAAAGGGACGATTTGATATTTTTAGGATGGAAAAGAATATATTGTTAACGTTACCGTTACTTTAATTTTATGTTAAAGGTGATGGTTTATTTTCGCTCCCCAGTTTCGCAATTGGTTAGCGCGCGGTACTTATAGAACAGTGGCTGCGAGCAATGCCGAGGTTGTGAGTTCGATCCTCACCTGGGGAAAAGAAACTTTTACATTCATATGTTTAATAAACTTCTCAGGGTTTGGTTGAACAGAGAAAGACTACTTCTCATATTAAATGCAGAATTTGCAATTTTGTTCCAAAGGGACGATTTGATTTTGGAATTAAAGGGAATGTATGTCGTTAACGTTACCGTTACTTTTAATTTTATGTTTAAAGGTGATGGATTACTTTCGATCCCAGTGGCGCAATTGTTAGCGCGCGGTACTTAAGAACAGTGGTTTGAGCAATGCCGAGGATGAGTTCGATCTCACCTGGGGAAAAGAATCTCTTACATTCATATGTTTAAAAAGCTTCTCAGGGTTTTGGTTGAACTGAAAGAATACTTCTCGCATATTAAATGCAGGAATTTTTAATTTTGTTCCTAAGGGACGATTTGATTTTTTTAGGAAGGAAAGTAATATATTGTTAACGTTACCGTTACTTTAATTTTATGTTAAAGGTGATGGATTACTTTCGCTCCCCAGTGGCGCGAATTGGTTGTACTTACTTGGTACTTATAGAACAGTGGCTGCGAGCAATGCCGAGGTTGTGAGTTCGATCCTCACCTGGGGAAAAGAAACTTTTACATTCATATGTTTAAGAAGCATATTAGGGTTTGGTTGAACAGAGAAAGAGTACTTCTCATATTAAATGCAGGAATTTTAATTTTGTTCCAAAGGAACGATTTGATTTTTTTAGGAATTAAAGGAATGTATCGTTAACGTTACCGTTACTTTAATTTTATGTTTAAGGTGATGGATAACTTTCGCTCCCCAGTGGCGCAATTGGTTAGCGCGGTACTTATAGAACAGTGGTTGCGAGCAATGCCGAGGTTGTGAGTTCGATCCTCACCTGGGGAAAAGAATCTTTTACATTTATATATTTAAGAAGCTTCTCAGTGTTTGGTTGAATAGAGAAAGAGTACTTCTCATATTAGGTACAGGAATTTTAATTTTGTTCCAGAGGGACGATTTGATTCTTTTAGGAAGGAAAGGAATATATTGTTAACGTTACCTTTACTTTAATTTTATGTTTAAGGTGATTGTTTGCTTTCGCTCCCCAGTGGCGCAATTGGTTAGCGCGCGGTACTTATAGAACAGTGGTTGCGAGCAATGCCAAAGTTGTGAGTTCGATCCTCACCTGGGGAAAAGAATCTTTTACATTCGTACGTTTAAGAAGCTTCTCAGGGTTTGGTTGAACAGAGAAAGAGTACTTCTCATATTCATCTGAGGTACCAATTTTGTTCCAAAGGAACGATTTGATTTTTTTAGGAATTAAAGGAATGTATCGTTAACGTTACCGTTACTTTAATTTTATGTTTAAGGTGATGGATAACTTTCGCTCCCCAGTGGCGCAATTGGTTAGCGCGCGGTACTTATAGAACGGTATTGCGAGCAATGCCGAGGTTGTGAGTTCGATCTCACCTGGGGAAAGAAACTTTTACATTCGCGTTATGTTTAGAAGCTTCTCAGGGTTTGGTTGAACAGAAAGAGTACTTCTCGCATATTAAATGCAGGAATTTTAATTTTGTTCCAAAGGGACGATTTGATTTTTTTAGGAATTAAAGGAATGTATCGTTAACGTTACCGTTACTTTAATTTTATGTTTAAGGTGATGGATTACTTTCGCTCCCCAGTGGCGCAATTGGTAGCGCGCGGTACTTAAGAACAGTGGTTGCGAGCAATGCCGAAAGGATGTGGTCGATCCCTCACCTGGGAAAAGAATCTTTTACATTCATATGTTTAAGAAGCTTCTCAGGGTTTGGTTGAACTGAGAAGAATACTTCTCTCATATTATTAAATGCAGGAATTTTATTTTTGTTCCAAAAGAGATGATTTGATTTTTTGGGAAGGGGAAAAGAATATATTGTTAACGTTACCATTACATTAATTTTATGTTTAAGACGAAGGTTTACTTTCGCTCCCCAGTGGCGCAATTGGTTAGCGCGCGGTACTTATAGAACAGTGGTTGCGAGCAATGCCGAGGTTGTGAGTTCGATCCTCACCTGGGAAACAGTGCTTTACATTCATACGTTTAAGAAGCTTCTCAGGGTTTGGTTGAACTGAGAAAGAATACTTCTCATATTAAATGCAGGAATTTTAATTTTGTTCCAAAGGGACGATTTGATTTTTTTAGGAAGGAAAAGAATATATTGTTAACGTTACCGTTACTTTAATTTTATGTTAAAGGTGATGGATTACTTTCGCTCCCCAGTGGCGCAATTGGTTAGCGCGCGGTACTTATAGAACAGTGGCTGCGAGCAATGCCGAGGTTGTGAGTTCGATCCTCACCTGGGGAAAAGAATCTTTTACATTCATATGTTTAAGAAGCTTCTCAGGGTTTGGTTGAACAGAGAAAGAGTACTTCTCATATTAAATGCAGGAATTTTAATTTTGTTCCAAAGGGACGATTTGATTTTTTTAGGAATTAAAGGAATGTATCGTTAACGTTACCGTTACTTTAATTTTATGTTTAAGGTGATGGATTACTTTCGATCCCCAGTGGCACAATTGGTAAGCGCGCGGTACTTAAAGAACAGTGGTTGCGAGCAATGCCGAGGATGTGAGTTCGATCCTCACCTGGGGAAAAGAATCTTTTACATTCATATGATTAAAAAGCTTCTCAGGGTTTGGTTGAACAGAGAAAGAGTACTTCTGATATTAAATGCAGGAATTTTATTTTTGTTCCAAAGAGACGATTTGATTTTTTTAGGAAGGAAAGGAATATATTGTTAACGTTACCTTTACTTTAATTTTATGTTTAAGGTGATTGTTTGCTTTCGCTCCCCAGTGGCGCAATTGGTTAGCGCGCGGTACTTATAGAACAGTGGTTGCGAGCAATGCCGAGGTTGTGAGTTCGATCCTCACCTGGGGAAACGAATCTTTTACATTCATACGTTTAAGAAGCTTCTCAGGGTTTGGTTGAACTGAGAAAAATACTTCTCATATTAAATACACGGGAATTTTTAATTTTGTTCCAAAAGGGACGATTTGATTTTTAGGAGAGAAAGAATATATTGATGTTAACGTTACCGTTACTTTAATTTTATGTTTAAAGGTGATGGATTACTTTCGCTCCCCAGTGGCGCAATTGGTTAGCGCGCGGTACTTATAGAACAGTGGCTGCGAGCAATGCCGAGGTTGTGAGTTCGATCCTCACCTGGGGAAAAGAAACTTTTACATTCATATGTTTAAGAAGCATCTCAGGGTTTGGTTGAACAGAGAAAGAGTACTTCTCATATTAAATGCAGGAATTTTAATTTTGTTCCAAAGGAACGATTTGATTTTTTTAGGAATTAAAGGAATATATTGTTAACGTTACCTTAACTTTAATTTTATGTTTAAGGTGATTGTTTGCTTTCACTCCCCAGTGGCGCAATTGGTTAGCGCGCGGTACTTATAGAACTGTGGTTGCGAGCAATGCCGAGGTTGTGAGCTCGATCCTCACCTGGGGAAAAGAATCTTTTACATTCATATGTTTAAGAAGCTTCTCAGGGTTTGGTTGAACTGAGAAAGAATACTTCTCATATTAAATGCAGGAATTTTATTTTTGTTCCAAAGAGATGATTTGATTTTTTTAGGAAGGAAAGGAATATATTGTTAACGTTACCATTACATTAATTTTATGTTTAAGACGATGGATTACTTTCGCTCCCCAGTGGCGCAATTGGTTAGCGCGCGGTACTTATAGAACAGTGTTTGCGAGCAATGCCGAGGTTGTTAGTTCGATCCTCACCTGGGGAAAAGAATCTTTTACATTCATATGTTTAAGAAGCTTCTAAGGGTTTGGTTGAACTGAGAAAGAATACTTCTCATATTAAATGCAGGAATTTTAATTTTGTTCCAAAGGGACGATTTGATATTTTTAGGATGGAAAAGAATATATTGTTAACGTTACCGTTACTTTAATTTTATGTTAAAAGGTGATGGTTTATTTTCGCTCTGATTTCGCAATTGGTTAGCGCGCGGTACTTATAGAACAGTGGCTGCGAGCAATGCCGAGGTTGTGAGTTCGATCCTCACCTGGGGAAAAGAAACTTTTACATTCATATGTTTAATAAACTTCTCAGGGTTTGGTTGAACAGAGAAAGACTACTTCTCATATTAAATGCAGGAATTTCAATTTTTGTTCCAAAGGGACGATTTGATTTTTTTAGGAATTAAAGGAATGTATCGTTAACGTTACCGTTACTTTAATTTTATGTTTAAGGTGATGGATTACTTTCGATCCCCAGTGGCGCAATTGGTAAGCGCGCGGTACTTAAAGAACAGTGGTTGCGAGCAATGCCGAGGATGTGAGTTCGATCCTCACCTGGGGAAAAGAATCTCTTACATTCATATGTTTAAAAAGCTTCTCAGGGTTTGGTTGAACTGAGAAAGAATACTTCTCATATTAAATGCAGGAATTTTAATTTTGTTCCAAAGGGACGATTTGATTTTTTTAGGAAGGAAAAGAATATATTGTTAACGTTACCGTTACTTTAATTTTATGTTAAAGGTGATGGATTACTTTCGCTCCCAGTGAAAGCAATTGGATTGTACGCGGTACTTATAGAACAGTAACGAGCAATGCCGGCGAGGTTGTGAGTTCGATCCTCACCTGGGGAAAAGAAACTTTTACATTCATATGTTTAAGAAGCATATTAGGGTTTGGTTGAACAGAGAAAGAGTACTTCTCATATTAAATGCAGGAATTTTAATTTTGTTCCAAAGGAACGATTTGATTTTTAGGAATTAAAGGAATGTATCGTTAACGTTACCGTTACTTTAATTTTATGTTTAAGGTGATGGATAACTTTCGCTCCCCAGTGGCGCAATTGGTTAGCGCGCGGTACTTATAGAACAGTGGTTGCGAGCAATGCCGAGGTTGAGTTCGATCCTCACCTGGGGAAAAGAATCTTTTACATTTATATATTTAAGAAGCTTCTCAGTGTTTGGTTGAATAGAGAAAGAGTACTTCTCATATTAGGTACAGGAATTTTAATTTTGTTCCAGAGGGACGATTTGATTCTTTTAGGAAGGAAAGGAGTATATTGTTAACGTTACCTTTACTTTAATTTTATGTTTAAGGTGATTCTTTGCTTTCGCTCCCCAGTGGCGCAATTGGTTAGCGCGCGGTACTTATAGAACAGTGGTTGCGAGCAATGCCAAAGTTGTGAGTTCGATCCTCACCTGGGAAAAGAATCTTTTACATTCGTACGTTTAAGAAGCTTCTCAGGGTTTGGTTGAACTGAGAAAGAGTACTTCTCATATTAAATGCAGGAATTTTAATTTTGTTCCAAAGGGACGATTTGATTTTTTTAGGAAGGAAAAGAATATATTGTTAACGTTACCGTTACTTTAATTTTATGTTAAAGGTGATGGATTACTTTCATCCCCAGTGGCGCAATTGGTTAGCCTTGCGGTACTTATAGAACAGTGGCTGCGAGCAATGCCGAGGTTGTGAGTTCGATCCTCACCTGGAAAAGAATCTTTTACATTCATATGTTTAGAAGCACCTCAGGGTTTTGGTTGAATAGAAGAGTACTTCTCATATTAAATGCAGGAATTTTAATTTTGTTCCAGAGGGACGATTTGATTCTTTAGGAAGGAAAGGAATATATTGTTAACGTTACCTTTACTTTAATTTTATGTTTAAGGTGATAGTTTGCTTTCACTCCCCAGTGGCGCAATTGGTTAGCGCGCGGTACTTATAGAACAGTGGTTGCGAGCAATGCCGAGGTTGTGAGTTCGATCCTCACCTGGGGAAAAGAATCTTTTACATTCGTACGTTTAAGAAGCTTCTCAGGGTTTGGTTGAACTGAGAAAGAGTACTTCTCATATTAAATGCAGGAATTTTAATTTTGTTCCAAAGGGACGATTTGATTCATAGGAAGGAAAAGGGAATATATTGTTAACGTTACCTTTACTTTAAATTTTATGTTAAAGGTGATGGATTACTTTCGCTCCCCGGTAACAATTGAAAGTTGTGCGGTACTTACTCAGAGCTGATGGTTGCGAGCAATGCCGAGGTTGTGGGGTTCGAATCCTCACCTGGGGAAAAGAATCTTTTACATTCGTACGTTTAAGAAGCTTCTCAGGGGTTTGGTTGAACTGAGAAAGAATACTTCTCATATTAAATGCAGGAATTTTATTTTTGTTCCAAAGAGATGATTTGATTTTTTTAGGAAGGAAAGGAATATATTGTTAACGTTACCTTTACTTTAATTTTATGTTAAAGGTGATTATTTGCTTTCGCTCCCCAGTGGCGCAATTGGTTAGCGCGTGGTACTTATAGAACAGTGGTTGCGAGCAATGCCGAGGTTGTGAGTTCGATCCTCACCTGGGGAAAAGAATCTTTTACATTCATATGTTTAAGAAGCTTCTCAGGGTTTGGTTGAATAGAGAAAGAGTACTTCTGATATTAGGTACAGGAATTTTAATTTTGTTAAAGAGGGAAGATTTGATTCTTTTATGAAGGAAAGGAATATATTGTTAACGTTACCTTTACTTTAATTTTATGTTTAAGGTGATTGTTTGCTTTCGCTCCCCAGTGGCGCAATTGGTTAGCGCGCGGTACTTATAGAACAGTGGTTGCGAGCAATGACGAGGTTGTGAGTTCGATCCTCACCTGGGGAAAAGAATCTTTTACATTCATATGTTTAAGAAGCTTCTCAGGGTTTGGTTGAATAGAAAAAGTACTTCTGATATTAGGTACAGGAATTTTAATTTTGTTAAAGAG